GTGAACTGTTAACGAGCACAGTTATTGATTATACCCAGTTGAATTATTTTCTCAAATGGCATGTACAATATTTGAAACATAATTATTAAAACACCTGCCAAGTCTAAAGGGCTGTATTGACAGTTTTATGAAGACCAATTAAGTTTAATGCCAGTTATCCCTGACACTGCTATGTGATGTGTTTATGGTGTTTAATTGATTGAAACTGTTTGACTAACATAAACACTTTACATGATCAAAGTGGAATTACTGTAAATAATAATACTATTCTGAAAAATAGTTAGGAGACGGATATTTTCATATACATGTACAGAGTACATTTAATTTTGCATTAACATTCTGATATGTTAATGATTATTGCTAAATGGGAATTTGAGATTCTGAAGTTGAAAATAAAAAAAGTAACTACAGTATATTGTTAAATATATCAGCTTTTGAAGGTGTCATACTTTCTTGGTATGAACACTTGTTCAATTGTTATCAAAGCACTGAAGATCAGAAGTTTCCAGTAGAAGGCAAGTATCTTGATATTGATGTACAGTGTACCATGATTCCCTATATAATTAATTGAAAAATTAAATCATTGTAGAATTTTTAAAGTGATTACAGGGTACTTCATTTTGGGGGTACCAATAACCTAAAACAATTGTGTCCAGAATTTTATTAAACTTACTTTTTCAGTTATGCTTTATTTTTTATTTATACTGGACTCAACCAAAGACATACCTCAGCTGAATAAAATCCTTAAAGTCAGCCATAGTACTCAGTGTTAAATCATGCTTGATACCAGTCAACATAGAAACTTTCCTCAAGTACTGCTAAGATATATACCTGTATATACTATGGTACTTTTATCTGTGAAGGCTAACTTGTGCAGAGCCTTGGTTATACAGAGGTCATTCGTGCATTGAAGCAAAGTCTATTTGAGAGTTACAAATGGTTGCTGGTTATTAGTGAATGATGTGATTTCAGTTTTATGAAAAACAAGTAATTCACACACTGAGACTAGTTAAGACAAGGATGGTACTGTACTGGTTAAATGACAGCATAAATGATCAGATAAGAATAAGTTGTTAAACAACTTTATGTAGAATGTTTCTTTGGGAATGTGAAGTTATCTGTAACCTACGTAAGTGTGGAAAAAGACTGTAAAACAATGATGAGGATGACTTGTAGGAAAAAACGAACACCAATCTGGTGGAAGACTTGAGTGTTTAGTCATTCCTATAAGTCTTTTTATGCTAAGCTGAAGGATGACCAGAATCAAGAGCCAAAACAGACACCTTCATCCACTTAATGTAATTGTTGTCACATCCCCATGAACCATCCAAATCCCATTCTTTCGTATCATTCTTATGCTCTGCTGCCTCCTGGATATCAATTCCCTTTCCTTCCATTACTTCCTTCACCCTATCCTTCCATGCCCATAGTCTTCTCTCCTGCATACCACCCACCCCTTGAGATGTACTGTACAGTACTGTATACAGTATGTACAGTACTCTTTTCATCAATCTTTTACTTCATATTTTCTCAAGAGTTCCATACCACCTTTGCAAATCCTGTTTAATTCCTTACAATACTTCTTTCATCGCCACGTCTTCTATTTTCTGTATTTCTTATAATCCACATTCTGATCCCCCTCACACATTGTTCTGAAGCACATTAATTTGTTCTCCTCTAATTTATTTCATCTTGTATCCACAGTCATTGTTTCGCTCTTAATGTCAGCTCAACAGTACCTCTCTACATCCTAAACTTTGCATCCATTGAAACATAATACAGTAACTCTCCATACCTTTCTTAATGTTCATATTACTTTCTTTCCCTCAATGACTTTGTGATTTAATTTATCAACTATTGTCCCCTGAGGTGACTTATCCACTCCCAGTTATATGAAATCTTCACTTTTTCCTTGCTATCCATTCTCTTTTCTCTTTTTTCATCACTTAACTTTTGTTCACATTTACTTCTGTATGTCTCCTATACATTCTTCAAAACTCATTCGCTAACACTTGTAACTTATCTTCTGAGTTATCCATCATGACAGCACCATCTACAAACTTCTGCTGATTTATCTTCCATTTGCAATTAGGATATTTGAAAAGGTGATCCAAATTCATATCAATATTCTCATTTCCTAATTCAAGGAAGTGAAGAAGTTTTATAATAACTGATAATACTGATTTTTTTTTTTTTTTATGATTGAAAATGTAGACCAGGTTGTTATTCCCTCCAGTGGAGAACTCCTAAATCTGCCACTGACCCTCTCATCTAAATGGCTACCCTTTTTTTATTACATGTTATTATTTTGTTTAATCTCAGTTATGTTTTTTCAATGTCATTCATTCCTCAGAACTCCTCTCTGTACCTTTTCAATCACTCTTATTTTTTCTATCGCTTATTCCCACAAACTTGTAATTTCTCACTTTTCCCAATGTTCCTGCCCTATGATCAATCACAAAAATCTCTCCAGTTCTTATACAGTATTTGCCCAACTATTCTGCTTTCTTGTATCATTCCTTTTCATTACCATTCACTCACCAATCATTAGGAAAGACTAAAGATACCTCCCTGCCTTTGTGCCAACTCACATTTAAAAGTTTCATATTCTATCTACAGTATCATTAAAGATTTTCCATTATATTCATGTTCATATCTTAAATTAAACTTCCCGGTTATTGAAGAGTGTAGGGAACAGATTAGCGGACCCCTCGTAAACTTATTTACAAAATCATTAAACACTGGAGTTGTGCCAGACTTGTGGAAACAGGCAAATGTAGTACCCATATTCAAAAAGGGAGACAGAGCATCAGCGTCAAATTACCGGCCGATCAGTTTGATGTCAGTAGTGGGGAAATTTCTTGAATCAATTATAGCAGATAGCATCCGATCGCATCTAGAGAAAAGCAAATTAATCTACGACTCTCAACATGGGTTTACAAAGGGAAAATCTTGTCTAACAAATCTGCTAGCGTTTTTTAGGAAAGTCTTCGAGGTAGTAGATAATGACGAAAATTACGATGTTATTTACTTAGACTTTAGCAAAGCATTTGACAGAGTACCGCATCAGAGGCTTCTGAGAAAAATTAAGGCTCATGGTATCGAGGAAGTTTTAAATTGGATAAAATCATGGCTCACCGATAGAACGCAGAGGGTCAGCGTAGATGGTGTTAAATCTGAGTGGGGCCGTGTAACCAGTGGGGTTCCCCAGGGGTCAGTACTAGGCCCACTCTTGTTCATAATCTACATAAACGATCTAGATACTGGGATCAGCAGTGACATAAGCAAGTTTGTGGATGACACCAAAATAGGGCGGCAAATTAATTCAGGGCAGGATGCAAATGCATTACAGGAGGATCTAAATAAACTGCAGGGGTGGTCTGAAAAATGGCAAATGAAATTCAACACCAGCAAGTGCAGCGTACTTAATATTGGAAGAACAAATACTTATAATGTATACAGCCTTAACAACATCAACCTAGAGAAGTCGACTTGTGAAAGAGACCTAGGGGTACTTGTAAGCCCGGACCTACGGCCTAGAAAACAGTGCGTTAATGTTCGAAATAAGGCAAACAGAGTATTGGGTTTTATATCTAGAAGTGTAAGTAACAAGAGTGCGGAGGTCTTATTGCAACTATATCTTGCGCTAGTCAGGCTGCACCTCGATTATGCGGTTCAGTTCTGGTGCCCCTATTATAGAATGGATATAAATTCACTAGAGTCGGTGCAGCGAAGAATGACAAAAATGATTCCGGGATTTAGAAACCTTCCATATCAGGATAGGTTAAAGAAACTTAACTTGCATTCCCTAGAAAGACGAAGAGTGCGGGGAGATATGATAGAAGTATTTAAGTGGGTGAAAGGAATCAATAAAGGGGATATATAGATAAAGTTCTTATAATATCCGAGCAGGATAGGACTTTGAGTAACGGATTCAAGTTGGATAAGTTTAGGTTTAGGAGGGAGATAGGAAGAAACTGGTTCACAAATAAGGTGGTGGACGAGTGGAACAAGCTCAGCAACTTTGTAGTAAGTGCGGGAACTCTGGAAAGTTTCAAAAGGAGGCTAGATAGATTCATGGATGATAGAGAGTGGTAGTAACTCTCGACAGGAGCTGCCATGCACAGGCCAACCAGCCTATTGCAGACTCCTTATTTTCTTATGTTCTTATGTTCTTAACTCCATACAATATTTTGGCACTGAATCATATTTATTGTTTTGACTTATAGTTTGTATGAAGAAGTTTCATTATAAACCTTCAAGTAGGCGGGAAACAAATGCATACGGTATTAAATAAATAATGATGGACTTTGTTGTTTTAAAGATATTGTTGAAGTAGCTACATACTCTTTTGGTAAAGATTCGAGGAATGGTTCCAAGAGAAATGGAGTTATTAATACATAATGAGTGACAGGAAAAAGGGGTGGACTTGTGAGTGAGCTTTTTATTTTACTTTTGCACGATACTCAGTGATATTACACAATAATAAGACATGACTGTAATGTCTTTTATTGAGTAAATTGAAGTATTGAAATTAATCAATTGTACTACAAAGTTAAGGATTATTTCTGGTATGGGACTTCCTTCCTCGTACTGTACCCACTACAGTATGACTTCACTAGTTCGCACACTTAGGCACCAAAAGGTATGCAAATTACCCAGTTTTATAAAGCATCCGTGAACATTAAAATGCAGACAGACACCTAGTCTACACTACAGATAAACAACTGATAGGAGATACTGTATGTACAAAACATCCCACAGACCAATAACATGTGCAATATGCACAATATATTTGTACATTACAGCATTAAGATTTGCACAATATTTATCACTGAGAAGTGAGGGGTGTACACTACTGTAAAACATATGAGGGGAAGTTGTGCTGATGAGACACCTTAGTTAGGTGGAGGTTATTGAGGTGACAGACCATACTTGTTCTTTTTTTTCAATGAATTCTAGTTTTTATTGAAAGTTGAGTTACCTTCCTTATCAGAACCACCAGCCAGAGTTGTGGATGTTACTGCACTGAGTACAGTACAACACCGTACAGTACTATACTTGCACTTAATATTATGAAACATGAACACCTATAGAGAGGTTTGCATATGACCTGGTGGTTCCAATCACCATCATAGTATATTTTTTTCTGTTCCATTTTACTTTTTTTTAATACTGTATAGTACATACATGTATTTAGTATCACCAGAACTCTGTTAACTGTCAACATAGTTTTTCAGAGTTAATAGAGGTTGAGTCACAAAAGAGATCACTGCAAGCTTTTGCAAATTGTGGATCCATGAAGTGTGAACTAATAACATTTTACTGTATCTCCTTTATACTTAGAAAACTAATACTTAAGTAGAATTTCTGATATACTGTACCTGTAATTGTTTAGTTGTTCTGACCCTTGTAGTGGGTATGGAGTGAAATAGGTAGATGGATGAATCATTTTCTAGCTAATGTGATTGGTATCCATTGCTTATTCTTAGGCCCAGATTGATGAACTAGTTTTTAACAGTGGCTTGCAGTGTTCAACATCATTCTGTTTGTCACTTGTCTTTTAATTTAGAATCTGGACTTTGAATGCAATGAACTACCTAATAAACTAACATAGATAAACTATCACTGTGGGAGTCATAAATACTGTACAGTACTATGCTGTTCCACACAGTGAATACAGT